AAACGACAATGTTGAAACATGTTTTAACACGCCAGCCACTTGACATGAACGGATGGTGTCTTGTCATTCTCAGAAGGGGTGTATCCTTCTTTAAAGCTGAAACTCGTGGACTTGAGCGCTGATGATCTTTATTTTGCTTGTTTTCTGCCCAGTCGTCTGATACTCGATGGACGACTACTAACTTCTTTTGCAATAGCTCTTAATGAAATGCCAGCATTCCGCATACCAATAACCTGCTATCTTTGAGCAGTTGTCAGTTGAGGAGGCGCCATATATTTGCTGATCAACAACAAAATCTATTGAGTTTCAAAGTTAAAGAGCTGTGAGATCAGTTTACTGAGACGTGATATTTACTTTTCATTGCTTCACTCAGGTCTGTATGCAATACAACATATTAAAGGTTCTTGTCGAAGAAATAGCTTGATCCAAATAGTTTCGTCATGAATACTTTCTGAATCTACAACGACAATTTGTTAACTGACATCAGAGACCATATAATAGACTTAGCGTGTGGTCTCTGCTGACATATATCATGACCCCTGCCCCAAAAGCGTTTCTATCTCTTCTGACTGGTTCGTCGAAATTGTCCCATTAAAAGATCAGTGTTGTTTATTGTCTGATCCAGGTGTTTCAATAATACAGACAATATAATATTCAGAAAGTACATAACTCAAGTAATTTAGCCAATTGCGCACACTTGGTGTATTTGAATTAAATATATGAAGTGATTGATTAGAGTCATGGTTCAATGGGCTTCGATTGATTTCCACATCCCCGGCAATCTGTAGACACAATAGAGAAACAAAACTATGCAGTTGACATTGTATGAAGCTGAGAAATATATACACACAACACGCATTGCATTCAATATTAGACAAATTATAAGACATTCCAAATTCGTTTTAGAAGAACTTTGAAAATACAATTGCATGGAACACTGACAGAGAATGTTTACTAAAGCTGCAACAAATAGTGCAATTGAAACTCCCTATCGTCACACGGCATTGTGTTAGATCATTGCTGACATGAAAAAGGTTGAGAACAATATGCAATAGTAGAATACATGCAAGGACTGACTGACTGAGTTTGGTTTTACGCCGCTTTCAGCAATATTCCAGCAACATCACGGCGGCCACATGCAAGGAAGATTGGACTTAAACTAAACATTTTTTACATAATTGGCGACTTGTATATTAACCGGCAATGCAGATCTGGTATTAGGTTACACCAGCTGTACAGCAGAACTGTGTATAGACAGGAGATAACCTTTGAGTTCGAATGGATAAAACAATATCACGAAGTAAGGAGACAAAAGAAGAGAGTATGAGTCCAGATATTTCTTCTTGCCTAATCTCCTTTTATATATATTATATAAATCATCTCCTGTTGTGTGGATAATATTTACACTTTAATATGAATTGAGATATATACATAATGGCTTTCACGTAAATAGCATATCTGGGAAGAGCCGTTTATATCACAAAAGTTTGTACTTGTCCAGATCTGTTTCACATGTGGATGTCTTTGTTGTATGTGTACGCTCCCGTCATATGTCCGTGATGAATCATTCGTGTGGTTATATTTCAGATCTCTTGCGGTTTTTGAACAATTTACTTCTGTATTGGGTTTAGTCCTCGTTGATATACACGGAATCTCGATTGTGTCGTAGGTTTCTCCTGTTGCTCATGGCCTTGTTCCGATCCCAGTAACTGACAAATTGCACAATCATCTGGAGATCTCTCTCCATCTCGATAATACCTATCGGTGTTAGATATATTGATGTTGGGGGGTGGACATCTTACAGTATGTTCATAACAACTTCATCAGTATTTTCCTCACACCACTTGTCCTGATAAACTCCCACAATTATAGTGTATGTATTTTAGTGTTGGGAATTGGTTAAAATCTCATAATTGATGATTGGTTCAATACAACCGATCAATCATCGAAGATAATTGGTTAGCGTCATTTATCAAGTCCTGATTATATTTGTTAATGCACCAAAAAATAAAGAAAAATACAACAAGTAGTTCTTTCGTGTGTTTTTTCTTTTGCAAATTGCACAAAATGCATTTGCAATTTTCTATAAGTTATTTTCAATCATGACTTGGTACGAGCTTGTAGTGCTTATGAAATGTAACAGACAAAACCAACCTTGTGAAAAATATTGTTAATGCAAACAAGTGTTCCATAACTTCCAAAATTGTTTGCGTTCGATTATGAAAAGACCCGTGAAGGTCCGGGTTAGAATGAATCTTCAGCAACCCATGCTTGTCGTAAGAGGCGACTAACGGGATCGGGTGGTCAAGCTCGCTGGCTTGGTTTACACATGTCATCAGTTCCCAATTGCGTCGATCGATGCTCACGCTGTTGATCACTGGATTGTCTGGTCCAGACTCGACTATTTACAGACAGCCACCATATAGCTTGAATATTGCTGAGTGTGGCGTAAAACTAAACTCACTCACTCACTCGATTATGAGAAAACATGATCGATTGCTTGGTCGTTTAGTCACTGCGACCAATTATTTCAAATAATCGGACCACCACTAATGTATTTGCAGGTCGTGAATGTTCGTTAATTTCATTTTCCAATGGAGCAACATTATTGTTCAACACACTATACATCTCTAGACAAACCTATAAAGGATCCGGATTATCGTGTGAAGCTGGCGGAAAGTGTTTGAGAAAGGTATCCCATCCTCGAGTACATACGACATAAGTCAGGTCGAATCGCTGTCACTCTTGTACAAGATACAGCCAGACTTCTAGAACCTGTCCCTTCATGCCAGGTTCGTCAACAGCTCGGGACATTACCCCCGATGTCTGCTGCTAAAATAATGCCATAATACTCCATATTATAACAGTGGTTCAACATTTTGCTGCCAATGACAATTACTAGACATAACCTAGACAAATCACAACGACCCATAAGGTTACGTGTGCATTATAAGGCATCGGTTGGTCATGAAGGAAGAAAGAAAACATTGGTAACAAATAGTTGTAACGTGCATACATAAATTGTTCTTTAACATGTTGAATAAACATATGGTCCCCGAATTTCACATTGTAAACTAATGTTCCGTCGGTATGAATGCTGACAGGCAAAGGTACATAATTGATCACATGGCCTAAATTACCTCATTGTTAATGCGTGTAAGCAGGTAAATGTAGTCAGAACATATGTAACCTGGGTGATTAGTCTACACTAATGCAAGTAGGGGGCTAAATGCTAACAGAACATATGTAACCTGGTGATTTCTACACTAATTCAAGTAGGGAGCTAAATGCTAACAGAACATATGTAACCTGGTGATGTCTACACTAATGCAAGTAGGTAGCTAAATGCTAACAGAACATATGTAACCTGGTGATGTCTACACTAATGCAAGTAGGGGGCTAAATGCTTACAGAACATATGTAACCTGGTGATGTCTACACTAATGCAAGTAGGGGGCTAAATGCTAACAGAACATATGTAGCCTGGTGATGTCTACACTAATGCAAGTAGGGGGCTAAATGCTAACAGAACATATGTAACCTGGTGATGTCTACACTAATGCAAGTAGGTAGCTACATGCTAACAGAACATATGTAACCTGGTGATGTCTACACTAATGCAAGTAGGGAGCTAAATGCTAACAGAACATGTGTAACCTGGTGATGTCTACACTAATGCAAGTAGGGAGCTAAATGCTAACAGAACATATGTAACCTGGGTGATGTCTACACTAATGCAAGTAGGGGGCTAAATGCTAACAGAACATATGTAGCCTGGTGATGTCTACACTAATGCAAGTAGGGGGCTAAATGCTAACAGGACATATGTAACCTGGTGATGTCTACACTAATGCAAGTAGGTAGCTATATGCAAACAGAACATATGTAACCTGGTGATGTCTACACTAATGCAAGTAGGGGGCTAAATGCTTACAGAACATATGTAACCTGGTGATGTCTACACTAATGCAAGTAGGGAGCTAAATGCTAACAGAACATGTGTAACCTGGTGATGTCTACACTAATGCAAGTAGGGAGCTAAATGCTAACAGAACATATGTAACCTGGGTGATGTCTACACTAATGCAAGTAGGGGGCTAAATGCTAACAGAACATATGTAGCCTGGTGATGTCTACACTAATGCAAGTAGGGGGCTAAATGCTAATAGAACATATGTAACCTGGTGATGTCTACACTAATGCAAGTAGGGGGCTAAATGCTAACAGAACATATGTAACCTGGTGATGTCTACACTAATGCAAGTAGGGGGCTAAATGCTAACAAAACATATGTAACCTGGTGATGTCTACACTAATGCAAGTAGAGGGCTAAATGGAAACAGAACATATGTAACCTGGTGATGTCTACACTAATGCAAGAAGGGGGCTAAATGCTAACAGAACATATGTAACCTGGTGATGTCTACACTAATGCAAGTAGGGGGCTAAATGTTAACAGAACATATGTAACCTGGTGATGTCTACACTAATGCAAGTAGGGAGCTAAATGCTAACAGAACATATGTAACCTGGTGATGTCTACACTAATGCAAGTAGGTTGCTAAATGCTAACAAAACATATGTAACCTGGTGATGTCTACACTAATGCAAGTAGGGGGCTAAATGCAAACAGAACATATGTAACCTGGTGATGTCTACACTAATGCAAGAAGGGGGCTAAATGCTAACAGAACATATGTAACCTGGTGATGTCTACACTAATGCAAGTAGGGGGCTAAATGCTTACAGAACATATGTAACCTGGTGATGTCTACACTAATGCAAGTAGGGAGCTAAATGCTAACAGAACATATGTAACCTGGTGATGTCTACACTAATGTAAGTAGGGGGCTAAATGCAAACAGAACATATGTAACCTGGTGATGTCTTCACTAATGCAAGTAGGGAGCTAAATGCAAACAGAACATATATTCAACACTACCTTTGAGTGATGTCTACGTCAATGCAAGTGGCAGGTAAATGTAATGAAAACCTAAGTGAAAATGTCAAAGTTTATGATGAAAGACAGGTACATAGATGTATACTACGACATTCAATACGGAAATTGATGACGTGTTTCGCTGTCGATGGGATGTACATTTACAATATACATTTACAAATGTACATACCTGATTCTTTGGTAAAATATTTTCTTAAAAACAGCATTAATATTAAAAAGTGTTTTTATTCTGCCTTGTCACAAACATTGTGCATGTGTTTCCAAAACACCACAGATATCGTACCAAATTACAACATTACTAGCAAAATATTTATGGTCTTTTTGGGAACAGTCCCAAAACACCAGGTGTGTACAGGTGTGTATTTATTAATCAGAACATTATGTTAAAAGCTCATGATGAGAGCCAACACTAGGTTAGAGCCACATCATGTAAAGATTATAAAATGTGTTGCTAATAGAGTTATGCTCCTTTTAATTGCATTACCTTCAAAACCATTAGAGAGTAACAAGTGCAGGATCACTTTTGAATCAGGAGTTATGGCAATCAAGATCAACGAAAGCTTTATCTTTGCTTTACGTTGGTTATCCGGTTTGATCAGTTTACAGCCAGGATAGTTCAATTGTTCAGTTTGCTGAGTGTAGGCGAGATACTAAAGGAATCTGCCTCTGCAAACCCTTGCGTGTCTTCATAGGTGTGTCTTCATGTGACTCTCGTCCACATACCTGTACCGTTTATCAGACACACTTCCATTCTCTCTCACTACGCTCCACGTGTACTTCTGTCGACCGCGGTTGAATCTAGCAACGCGTGGGTCCTCAAACCCATCGTCATCGGCAGCACCGCCCATCATGTCGTTTGGTACTGTAACATCACTTCCATGGCCATCTATGTTGAGGGGCAGATCGATGTTGGATCTTCTCAGAACTTCATTACGAAAAACTGACGGCGGTACTAAAACAGGTTTGTTGATATTATTCACACGATCTGGACTATTGTCTGTTTCCGGTGTGTCGCGGAAGTAGACAGGTGAAGTCTGTCCTCGTTTCGAATTCAACTCACTAACCCTATCCAAATATGTCATTGGGCGTGGCGAATACCTCCCCAGTGGAGGGGCGTGAGCTGGTGCTGTGTTAGGCTGCAGTTGTTCAGTTTCACGACTCTCAGGCAATACAGGCTGTACAGGCGTGGTGATACGCCCAGGGAAGTCACGCCTATTTTTGACGTTTCTAGTGTCAGCTTGATAATCATGTAATTCAAAGTCAGCAATATTCGGCATGGAAGCATATTGGGAGGACATTACTTTAGGTACCGAGGCCGAAGCAGTAGCCCTTGGCAACCCATACAAAAAGTACAACGTGTCTCCCATTGGGTATTTAGGTGATGGAGGCATGCCGTATGTGTGTCGAATATGGTATGTCTGTTCCCTTTGCATGTCAGGGTTTTCTATGTAACGATGAGTAAGGCTTTGTGTATCCATAAAGGAGTTGTATGCCTGCCGCTCAGTGTTCGGACTTGCTCCATCCATGCCGTGTATCAGTTCCTGGTTGACAGACATCCGCCACAATGCCCATTTATGTAGTCGGTCCTGTCCCGACTGGGGATGGCGCAACTCGTCCGGTGACGTCATTACATTACCCAGGGACTGATAAACCTGTCAAATGAGAAAAGTGATTTACATGAGGTCAGCAGGAAATCAAACCCTCACACACTCACTCACACCCACCACAACTCACACTGGCGCCCAAACTCTCACTCGCACTTGCACGCCGGCACACACGCACGCCCACAGACACACATACACAGACACTCACTCACATACTCACACTAACATAGCAAGAAAGAAAATGCGCGCACGCGCATGCACGCACGCACGCGCGCACACACACACACACACACACAAATAAACCAGATGTCGAGGAAGTTATGTTGCCAAATGAAGAAGTATATTGTCGCGAGGGCTGTATATTTTGAATGCAGTGAAGGCTGTATATTTTGAGTACATGAATACAGTGAAGGCTGTATATTTTGTATACATGAATACAGTGAAGGCTGTATATTTTGTATACATGAATACAGTAAAGGCTGTATATTTTGTATACATTAATACAGTGAAAGGCTGTATATTTTACAAACGAATTTCGTCAAGGCGGGAAATTTTCAGAACCTAATTTATAATTTGTCATAGATGTAGATAGGTGATCTTTGCCAGAGCAGCAGTCATTTCAGACAGTTGTGATGTCATGTCTCGGTGCTATAAATAGCTACGGTGTGCACATGTAATTAATAAACAGCTTTTGCGACAAGTGAGCTACACGATTCTTCAGTTTAAGAGTGTAACTTCTCCATGCATTTCTTACTCAGACGCCGATAATTTTTTACTTTTCATATACGTCATGGTTGTGGTAAAATAATGACGTCAACAATTACAGATTTCGTATGGTTTACCTAAAGTACGCAAAGAGGCATGCTTGGAAATGGTACTGATGGTTATATTGAAACAGAACACCCTGATGATCTGACACGTAGGCCGATTGCGGGAAAGTGTTGATACACGTCAATTGAGCACATTTGATTGATATAGTGCTTCAAACCTTTCATATAAAAGATCACAGTTCTAACAGAGATACGAGGGATTTCATTAACTATTCACCTCAACAAATCAAGCACAAAACCAAACTTGATACTTTTGACAGCAAAAGATTGTATTCCAATATTCCACCTGACTCACTGATTGAAACAGCATTATTCTGGTACGTATACACATAGTTCCCACAAGGAATTCATCAGAGAGTGTTAAATTCTTTTGAATAACAATACGGGGGAATATTATTGACACATAAAGGGAATTCCCGTATTACCCGAGGGAGAAGCATACAACGTATTTATCTTACCGCCACGTTAAATGTACAAAATATCATTTTATTTCATCTTGAAGATCGCTACCCACTTTATTACATGTAAACAAAATGGGGGGTCTGCCTCTCGACTGGATTTTTGAAATCAGTGACACATATTCTGACAAGATTAAAACTGCTATGAAAATGGTTAGTTATGTTTAAGTTGAGTGTGCAAACGATTCAATGTATACAATAGTTTAAATAAATCAGTGAAAGTCGGTAAAATAAATGTGTACAAAGTGAACTCAACAACAGCTGATCGAACGGTTTTCGAACTCCGGGTACTGCATGCGTCATATTATGACGTCATACCATTGTTAGCTATACAGCTTCTCAGCGGAGAGTTTGGCGGTTACCGTGGCAGCGGGTAAATTTTTTTTCCAGTTGTCACCCTCCTGGGACCAATGAAATTAAAGTATTTTACACGAAGGTAAGATAAAATGGCATCCACTTACGTGACGTTAGTTTGGGGATACTTAGAACGAACTCTGAAAACCAAAGTGAGAGAACAGTTGGGATCTGTCGGGTAATACAATAGTAACGTGGCGACATTTCCTTTACGATAACTTTATGCTGTGGCCCGTAAATTAACCCATAACATTAACCCATAACAACTACTTTGAACAAACATCTGGACTTTACCATGGTCTCCCGTCACTCTGAAATTCCTTTTTGGGACCCAAGGGTATAAATATGTAGACACAATCTAGCTAGAAACAGGTATATGCTGTAAACCTATAGATACTAAGTAATATGTACATTTTCCATCCCAAGTCACCCGAGTCACACAAAAAGAAACAGTCCCTATATTTTAGCAAGGCGTGCCTTCATGATGGTGTCAAATATATATGTCTACAAGGTACGCGCGACTTGCGGATTTAAATCTTATCTACAATCCCGTGGAAGGCCGATTCTACTTTGGGAGATGGAAGAAATATAGATTGAAGAAAGACACCCTTCAAAGTGCGAAAGCAGTGTGATAAGCAAACCAAATAACGCTATCAATATAGCCTATGTATCTCCATAATCCCCAACTTTTCCATAACATTAGACAACATGCTCCAATTTTAAATGCTGATGTTAAAATGAATCTAATTATTTGTATACAATTCGTGTTGTGTCATTATTTCGTGTATTCCTTTTTCGTATTAGTATGTATGTATGTTTGTGTGCGTGCGTGCGTGCATGCGTGCGTGCATGCGTGCGTGCGTGCGTGCCTATGCATATGTGTGTGTGCATTTACTTTCTTGCTACATGTTGTACGTACTTTTAGGTTTTTTCATAGACCTAGATACGTTTCCACAACATATCATGCCAGCAGGACTATAACTTCTTAAATGTGGCGTAATGACGACGGTGATATGATAAATAGCATACCTCGCATTTCTAGTTGGCTGGTTGCCCATGTTTCGTGTTTATTATTGACAAAAAACTTACTGATCTGTATTTTACAATCTATATAATGCCGACTGTAAAACACATCATTGAATTCGATTTTCTATACAACTTGAAACCTGACACACTTTGGCGCTGGTGACAAATCGTCATGGCGTCACGTGACGGATGTAACATAGTACCCGGAAGTTGCAGTAGTCATGTTTGTGTCTCTGGGTTGCCACAGCGTTGTCGAACACGGAGGAGCTAATTGGAAGGTTTGTCATCACGGAAGAAGTATCCTGTTTCAGTCAATATATAACTGCGTCGTAACCTGTTTTCAAGTGAATCTGTGTCGCTCACTATCTGCGTAAATGCTATATGTGGCTATTCACCACACGGTTACCTGATACCTTGCTATTGTGACCAGGGGGCGCCTGCACCGACCTGGCTGGTTGTTATATGTACAGTCACTGAAGAAGGCCACATATCTATCAGTGTATGTTTCACATCTGTTGGTACATTGGTATGCACATCTAGTAGTCATCTACAGGTAAATTTGTATGTAGCTATATAACACATACCTATAGGTTCATGTTTGACTTGTGTGCATATATCACAAACAACTATAGGTGTATGTATTAGTTTGTTAAGATAATTGCCTCTGTTCCCCCAGCACTGAATGGGTACCCGGTGGGATATGTCACATGATTGCTTTGGTTATCCGGGGTCATAATGTGTTAGCACTTGAGCATGCACAAGCGCTTTGAAAGAGGAGCTTTATAAAAAGCCATTATTATTATTATTATTATCTTAACTGTGTCAGCCACTAGTGAAGGAGGTTATACTGTATCACTGACACTATGTACGTAAATATACCTATCAATGGACATTTGACAGAACATCCAACACATCACTACTTAATTCTACACGACGCGGGCCCTCCAGCCGCCTCTCCAGCACGATGTCACTACGTACGTGTAATGACTTCAGGTTTCCGAACACATAAACCTCTCATTTTGACGACAGATCTGAGCGCTGAACTGCGGCAGTCTGGTTGTTGCCTCACTGTGGTGACATTAGTCATCCAGTCTCGGGGAGGCATGTCCGCCGTGGGACTGACAAAGCTGAATATGCTTGTCTAACGCTTTCGCGGTCATTTAACAAACAGTAGCGGGGACAAATCGGCCATTGGTTCGAGACGGATAAAACATTTTACTGCTATCCCTCGACAAGCCACATATTTGGTGACAAATGAATTCACTACTGTGCTTGCCTGTTGAATACGTGGAATAGGGTCAGGCGATTCAATATCATGTTGGTGTCAAAGCTAGTACTGTATACCACACATATATTGCATTATGTGGAAGGCAAACAGAACAGCAAAGCTTATAGAAAAGGTCAACTCATTTCAAAATTGCAGCAGAGGTCATTGTAATACCATATTGCTCCAGTGAAGCCCATCGTTACATCTCAATATTACAGTTGAGGCATTTATGACTGCATGATGTTATAGCAGATATCATTGTAACATCATAATATTTATTGTAGAGGACATCACATATGACAACCATCACGATATTATGGTAGAATTTAAACAACCACTGAAAACACTTAGTATGTGACCTACAAAGGAAATGACAGTAGCATGTGGTTTGTGATTACATGGCATTCTGTCGTTTCAACAGTTTGAGTGTATTACTTCACATCAGTGATAAAACCTGATTCCTACCTGTGACGTGTTTCATTCCCAGCTTGAGGTATCACGGAGACACGCGCCAAGCGCTGACTCGTGCTTGTACATTTCCCTGAGTGAGAGACAATGAGTCCCGCGAGGCGCATGTTCATATACATGACAGATGTTGCCCCACATCATCGATTGTATGTCGGCAACTAGGCTTTGCTTTAACACCAGGTACAGGCCTTACTACTCAGGTAATGCCCACACGGCAGATTATGTATGATTGCTTGCAAACAACCCACAAGTTCAGTACAGCAATATACCTCGTCAAGTCAGTAATGTGTTTACATCAGATGTATATCTTGCCAGTAATGTGTATATCAGATGTATATCTTGTCCGCAATATGTGTACACCCGAGGTGTATCGAATCAAGAAATAATTTGTTGATACCACATAACATCGAATGAGAAATGTAATGAAGATGTTTGTGGCATGGTAACCTAAAACATAATATACATAGGTTGTAACGATCAAACATATCGACCTAAAACATAATATACATAGGTTGTAACGATCAAACATATCGACCTAAAACATAATATACATAGGTTGTAACGATCAAACATATCGACCTAAAATTGAAATGAACAATGATAATGACGGCATAAATTACTCCACTCAGGCACCTCAGACTCGACTCATTTAAATTAGCTAAGCTGCCCTCATCAAATGAAAGGTTACTCGTTCTTACCATGAACGGCGAGGAAGAAGGGCACTGAACAACCCGAAGTCTGGATTGATGTGGCTCTATAATGCCCACACGCTGTGGGCATGTGTTGACGTGGTTTGTGATATGTATAATCGACCCCTTCTACTTCCTCGTTGTTTCTTCATTGTGTTGATTACCCGAACCGAGCCTAGGCGTGTCTGTTACTTGAACACAGCATTAACGTTACCTGCCTGCAGTATAGCAGTAGGCCTAACGGTTGATTGTTATCGTTGAAATGGCACGTCACAAACAAGTGTAGTCTTTCATAGGCCGGCGTCTGGCGAAGGACCCGACTGACTACCCTGTTAGGGGCTGGAGCAGAGATATCAAAACAAGTGTGACAGCGCCAAATGACCGGAAGATAAGAGATAATTACTAAATCGTTCAAGTACCGAAAACAAAAAATGTCGAGAGAAAGAAACTTGCTACTGATTGTTTTGTTCATCATATGCGCTATCACCTGCCATTTTTTAGATTTAAGTGATTTCAATGATATCGAAAAGCCAATGAAGACTGGTCAGCAGCTACTTGACCGGCTCAAAAGTTTCTGATTGTATCCTAACTTGGCCTTCGATTAATGAAGGACTAACGAGAAGGAGGACGTATACTGCGCACCAACAGATCAGACAAGGGCAGTTGTATACTGCACCTCTACAGATCAGACAAAGACAGTTGTATACTGCGCCTCTACAGATCAGACAAAGACAGTTGTATACTGCGCCTCTACAGATCAGACAAAGACAGTTGTATACTGCGCCTCTACAGATCAGACAAAGACAGTTGTATACTGCGCCTCTACAGATCAGACAAAGACAGCTGTATACTGCGCCTCTACAGATCAGACAAAGACAGTTGTATACTGCGCCTCTACAGATCAGACAAAGGCTGCTGTATACTACACCTCTACAGATCAGACAAAGACAGTTGTATACTGCGCCTCTACAGATCAGATAAAGGCTGCTGTATACTACACCTCTACAGATCAGACAAAGACAGTTGTATACTGCGCCTCTACAGATCAGACAAAGGCTGCTGTATACTACACCTCTACCAATCAGAAAAAGACAGTTGTATACTGCGCCTCTACAGATCAGACAAAGACAGCTGTATACTGCCCCTCTACAGATCAGACAAAGACAGCTGTATACTGCGCCTCTACAGATCAGACAAAGACAGTTGTATACTGTGCCTCTACAGATCAGACAAAGACAGCTGTATACTGGGCCTCTACAGATCAGACGAAGGCAGTTATGTACAGCGCCTTTACAGATCAGACAAAGACAGTTGTATACTGCGCCTCTACAGATCAGACAAAGACAGTTGTATACTGGGCGTCTACAGATCAGACGAAGGCAGTTATGTACAGCGCCTTTACAGATCAGACAAAGACAGTTGTATACTGCGCCTCTACAGATCAGATAAAGACAGTTGTATACAGCGCCTCTACAGATCAGACAAAGACAGCTGTACACTGCGCCTCTACCGATCAGACAAAGACAGCTGTATACTACACCTCTACAGATCAGACAAAGACAGTTGTATACTGCGCCTCTACAGATCAGACAAAGACAGCTGTATACTACACCTCTACAGATCAGACAAAGACAGCTGTATACTACACTTCTACAGATCAGACAAAGACAGCTGTATACTGCGCCTCTACAGATCAGACAAAGGCTGCTGTATACTACACCTCTACAGATCAGACAAAGACAGTTGTATACAGCGCCTCTACAGATCAGACAAAGACAGCTGTATACTGCGCCTCTACAGATCAGACAAAGACAGATGTATACAGCGCCTCTACAGATCAGATAAAGACAGCTGTATACTGCACCTCTACCGATCAGACAAAGACCGCTGTATACTCCGCCTCTACAGATCAGACAAAGACAGCTGCATACTGCGCCTCTACAGATCAGACAAAGATAGCTGTATACTGCGCCTCTACAGATCAGACGAAGGCAGTTGTATACTGCGCCTCTACAGATCAGACAAAGACAGCTGTGTAGTGCGCACCTACAGATCAGACGAAGGCAGTTATGTACAGCGCCTCTACAGATCAGACAAAGACAGTTGTATACTGCGCCTCTACAGATCAGACAAAGACAGTTGTATACTGGGCCTCTACAGATCAGACAAAGACAGTTGTATACTGCGCCTCTACGCCTCTACAGATCAGACAAAGACAGCTGTATACTGCGCACCTACAGATCAGACAAAGACAGTTGTATATTGCGCCTCTACAGATCAGACAAAGACAGTTGTATACTGCGCCTCTACAGATCAGACAAAGACAGTTGTATACTGCGCCTCTACAGATCAGACAAAGACAGCTGTATACTGCACCTCTACAGATCAGACAAAGACAACTGTATACTGCGCCTCTACAGATCAGACAAAGACAGCTGTATACTGCGCACCTACAGATCAGACAAAGACAGTTGTATTCTCCTCCTCTACAGATCAGACAAAGACAGCTGTATACTGCGCCTCTACAGATCAGACAAAGACAGTTATATACAGTGCCTCTACAGATCAGACAAAGACAGCTGTATACTGCACCTCTACAGATCAGACAAAGACAGCTGTATACTGCGCCTCTACAGATCAGACAAAGACAGCTGTATACTGCGCCTCTACAGATCAGACAAAGACAGCTGTATACTGCGCCTCTACAGATCAGACAAAGACAGTTGTATACTGCACCTCTACAGATCAGACAAAGATAGTTGTATACTGCGCCTCTACAGATTAGACAAAGACTGTTGTATACTGCATTTCTACACATCAGGCAACAGTGACGATTCTTCTTCCGGTCTTTTCCCACACATAGCTGTTGTATGCTGTTATGTCGGGATTTCTTTTCTTTTTCTGAGCTTCGTTTTCTTTTTAAAGCAATGTCTTTGTTAGTTGCCTTGATATTGCCCGCGGCTCTGACGATATATTGTCGGTTTTTTCGTACGAAGGCTCTCCCACTATCTTCTCATCTTGAAGCTGGCCGCATTGTTATCATACTCAATATGCTTCCGTCGGGCATACATGTTCCCCGACGCACACCTCGGATAGGATTGTAAATTTCAGTTTAGTCCTTACACTTAATACGGCATTGTTTTCTTTCGACGGCACATTTGGATTGGACACACACTCTTCAAAAAAGGAAACGCACAAGCCATTATTAGAAGAGTTTATTGCGTTAGTTTTAGAGCTACTATTTCATGTAAAATCAATGGTAAAAAGGTGTAAATGTCTATAATCAAAGAGTTCGCCAACACAACAGTAGCCTTCATTGTTGTGTTTCTGTTTACGTGAGTCCAACAATGGCGTCAAAGTCAGTACTTTGTATGGCCACCACTGACAGCAAGTACTGCTCGGCACCGTCTCGGCTCAGGCTGGATACGTCGACGATGTCGCTCTTGTAGAATTCTTCTGGCGGCCCATGGCGATGTTTCGGAAGTTGTGGCGTGATGATTTCCTCTTTTCCAGGCAAAAACGAATGACAAAATTAAACGCAACGTTTGCCTTTTTATAGTGATCGATACCGCATGCTTTTCTGCTTACTTGCACGAGCATTTTGCTTTGCATGTTTTCTTGGTGATGTTTTGGCGAATCAAACGCTTCTAAAGCAAGGAAAAAACCTCAAATTGGCTCGTTTTGGCGCTAAACCTTTTTACTATGACACAAAGATGACGTCATGGAAAGAAATAGTATATTTGTATTGTTTTTGCCGCCGCCACACGAGTCCAATATTCTCAAAACCACCGATGCGTTTCATTTTTTGACACATACATTCTCGGATTAGAAAAACTCGTCGTGTGTTTGGGATACAACCCGTACTTGGTGGTGTGTGAGAGTTATATGATGCCCACTACATCCCGTACTTGGTGGTGTGTGAGAGTTATACGATGCCCACTACAACCCGTACTTGGTGGTGTGTGAGAGTTATACGATGCCCACTACAACCCGTACTTGGTGGTGTGTGAGAGTTATACGATGCCCACTACAACCCGTACTTGGTGGTGTGTGAGAGTTATACGATGCCCACTACAACCCGTACTTGGTGGTGTGTGAGAGTTATGCGATGCCCACTACAACCCGTACTTGGTAGTGTGTGAGAGTTATACGATGCCCACTTTGTTTTTGCAGACGAACATCTTTAAAAATACTTTCACATTTTGGCATGCCGATCAGGTGTTTGTGGTCGTCCGAGGTGCGTGTGGCCTCATAAGACAGAGCGCACATTTCCATCGTCTATCCCTGGCCGGATTGTGAGAATGTGTGGTCACACGTTGACAGGGTTGTTGATGGACTGCTCACGTGTTGACAGGGTTGTTGGTGGACTGCTCACATGGTGACAAGGTTGTTGGTGGACTGCTCACGTGTTGACAAGGTTGTTGGTGGACTGTTCACGTGTTGACAAGGTTGTTGGTGGACTGGTCACACGTTCACAGGGTTGTAAGACTGGTCACGCATTGACAAGATTGTTGAAAGACTGGTCACACGTTGACAGGGTTGTAAGACTGGTCACACGTTCACAGGTTTGTTGTAAGACTGGTCACACAATCACAGGGTTGTTGTAAGACTGGTCTTATGATGACAGGGTTGTTGTAAGACTGGTCATATGATGACAGGGCTGTAAGACTGGTCACACGTTGACAGGGTTGTAAGACTGGTACCACGTTCACAGGGTTGTTGTAAGACTGGTCATTTGATGACACGGTTAGTGTAAGACTGGTCACACGTTGACAGGGTTGTAAGACTGGTCATATGATGACAGGGTTGTAAGACTGGTCACACGATGACAGAGTTGTAACACTGGTCACACGTTCACAGGGTTGTAAGACTGGTCATATGATGACAGGGTTGTAAGACTGGTCATATGATGACAGGGTTGTAAGACTGGTCACACGTTCACAGGGTTGTAAGACTGGTTACACGATGACAGGGTTGTAAGACTGGTCACACGATGACAGGGTTGTAAGACTGGTCACACGATGACAGGGTTGTAAGACTGGTCATATGATGACACGGTTAGTGTAAGACTGGTCACACGTTGACAGGGTTGTAAGACTGGTCATATGATGACACGGTTAGTGTAAGACTGGTCACACGATGACAGGGTTGTAAGACTGGTCACACGATGACAGGGTTGTAAGACTGGCCACACGATGACAGGGTTGTAAGACTGGTCACACGATGACAGGGTTGTAAGACTGGTCACACGTTCACAGGGTTGTAAGACTGGTCACACGTTCACAGGGTTGTAA